GAGAGTAAAACCAAATGTGACATAACAGAACAGAATCGGTCAAGTCAAAAGGGTGGATATAATAGATAATATAAAAACATAATACAAGGTGATCAACAATGGTTACCATAATGCCTCCCGCTATTTCTAATAGAATTGCCTATATCATTAGTTGTAATACAATTGAACAAAACAGTAAAGAATAAAACCGACAAAACCAAAACATTGGAGATATTGTAGGTCTTCAAAAGTAGATAAAAGTCAACGAGAATGGGCGTTATAATGAATCTCATTATCTTCTCAGCTGATGCCTAAACTTTCGAACCTGATACTATCCAGCAAAACAGAATAGAGGAACCTCAGTCAAAGACAAGATGGTGAGAGTAATACAGGGCTTCAAATCGAGATAATAGAAAGTCAAAGTGGGTTATTATATTATATCCTGCTATATTTTTCCCCTTAATTAAATGGATAAAAATAAAAAAGTGAAACAGGGCAGATCAAAACATAACCATTTAAGCAGAATAGTGTTTCACCACCAGATATTTCCGACCCAAAAGTAGTTACCATATTGACTCCCTCCCTGAAGTCCTTGAGTACAACTTCATATACTGTAGCATTAAGTATATCAAAACAATGTAAAACCATTTAAGAGAATGACAGCATTATAGAGTATTTAGAATCAACTAACAGAAAATGAACAATGGTCTCTGTATAATCTCCTTGTCTTTAAAAGGTTTTTGCTTATACTATCGTACATAACAAAATCCAATAAGATACAACCTGTTTAGACCATTGGAGACAGAAGAACAAAAGCTAGATGAGACTTCAAAACAAGATGGTACTAAATCAGCATTACCTATTAAGATGTCATTTTCTCCAAAATAGCTGTTCCTATCATCCAATCTTCTCTGTCTCATTTCTGTTGAGCTCTTTTTCTGTCAGTAGCTGTCAGTTTGTCTTCTTCATTTTGTTCTCTGCTCCATTCGTTGTGGCCTCCCCGCCACTATTTCTGGGTTCTTTGTATTTTTCTTTTTTTAGAATATCCTGCAATACTTTCTGTAGGGTTGAATTGGTGGTTGCAAATTCCCCCAGTTCCTCTTTATCCTGGAAGCACCTAGTTTTTCCATCAATTTCCAGGGACAGTTGTGCAGGATATCTCAATCTTGGCTGGAGATTATTATCTTTCAAAGCTTGAATTATTTCCCCCCATGCTCTTCGTGATTTGATGGTTTGTGAAGAGAAATCTGCTGTAATTCTGATGGGTGTTCCCTTGTAAGTGATCTGTTTCTTGTCTCTTACAGCTTTTAATATTCTGTTCTTGTATTGAATTTCTGGAATTTTTATTATTATATGCCTGGGTGTTTCTCTGTTAGGGTTGTAGGTAGCTGGGGTCCTGTATGCCTCATACATCTGAGTATCTTTACCTTTTGCTAAATTAGGAAAATTCTCCTGGATTATTTCTGTGAGTAGCTTTTGTAGTTCACTTGTTTGTGTCCCTACTTCTTCTTTTATGTTCTTAATCCTTAAGTTATGGCTCCTCTTATCATCTTCTTGTCTTTGTATTATTGCTGTTTGTTTCTTTGTTATTTTTAAGAAGTTTTTCATTTCATTCTCCCATATTTCAAGTCTGCCCTCCAGTTCAGATAGTCTGTCCTAAGTTTCTTTCAAGCTGTTATGCCAGTCTTGGATAGACTTCTTAATTTCTTGACAGTCCCTTTGAACCTGCTTCACATACTCAATGCTTTCTCTGTTTTCTCCATCAAGCAATTCTCCCCTCTTTTTCTGTTCTTCCATTCCATCATCTGTTTTTTCCTGGGTGGTGCTTAGCATTTCTCTAACTATTCTGCATACTTCTAGCTTCAGGTCGTTGATAACTTCATTCCTGAATTGGTCTATGAGGCTCTCTATATGGCGCTTAATGTATATTGGTGTGGTGTCCGCTATTGCCTGTTTCTCAGTATTGGGGGCCGAGGAGCCTTTTTTGTTGCTTCCCTTCCCCATATTTTCTGTTCCTTATAAAATGCAAGCTTACATAGGAGGCCCGGCTTCCCTGCCTGTCAGCCACAGCCTGATCGAATTGCGCTGGCTAGTTGTTCCCGCCCACCACTGCGCACCAGGGAGTTGCGGAGGAGGCAGCCTACGCGGGAGTCAGTCGCTCCTCCGGGCCACCGTCAGGCTCTGGGATCAGGATTAGGCCAGCCTAGGGAGTCCGCCAGCAGTGTCACTCAGGCCAGGCACTTTTCACCAATCCCGTCCGAGAGGGTAATGTGTGGCTGGAGTCGCCACCGCGCCCTGCTCTTACAGGACTGCTCGAGCCCAGAAAGTCCTCCGCTGGAGTCAAACTGTGGTAGGGGGTCAGTTTCTCACTCACCTCGCCACCAGTCAGTTTTCGTGTATGCCTCCTTGTCCGTCCTGTTTTTGACTCCGTTCGCAGACTCCCGTTCCCAGAGCTTCTGCGCGTCTCTCCTTGCCGAGCCGCTGTGGAGGCAGCCAGCCACCGCGCGACGGGAAACCCAAATCGCGGTTTCCAATGGCGCGGGGTCGAGCCTCTACACCGAGTCTTTTCTGTTCCTATTTTAGCACCAGGACTGTATTCTAAGTTGGTTTCTCTCAGCTCAGTTCGTTCCTGAGTCAGCAGAGCATATCTCTACTGGTTCGTGTCTCCTTAGTCCGCATCATTCCTGGCCTCTGAGCCGAGCCTTTCAGAGAGCCTACGGTAGTTGCTGTTGTCTGTCCGCCATGTTCTCCCGGAGTCCCCTTGTTTTGTTTTTTGAGACAGGGTCTCTCTATGTAGTTCGGGCTAGCCCAGATTTACTACATAGCCCAGATTGACCTCAAACTCTCAGCAACTCTCCTGCCTCAGCCTCCCAAGTGCTAGGCTTACAGGTGAGTTCCACTACATCCAGCTATAAGACCTACATTCTATCAACATACACGTCTATCAATATATACAATATATCATATATATTTCCATACACTAGCAATTAAAAATCCAAAATGAAATTAAGAAAACAATTCAACTTATAATAGCACTGAAAATAATACATCAAAAAGGGATAAACAGAACAAATGAGGCATAAGGTTTATACATTGAAAACCACAAGACACTGCTGGGAAACAAATGGAAGAGACATTACATATTCACGCACAAGCCTTGCTTTATTTAGCTTGCTAGCAGGCAGTGCTGGAGACTGAACACAGGGCCTTTGCACTGAGCCCTGTCTCCAGTGCTTTTTAAAATTTTGAGACAAGGTCTGAGTTGCCCAGGCTGAGCTTGAACTGATGATCCTCCTGCCTCAGCCTCCCAGACATATGCCACATTAGTAGTTCCCATATTTTTAAGACGGCATTCTCACCTAAACTGGTTTAATTTTCAAAACAATCCCTATTGCAATTCCAGATGGCTTTTTTTGTAGATACTAATGAACTTATTCTAAAATTTATATGAAAATACAAAAAAGCCAGTATAGCCATAACTATCCGAAAAACAACACAGAAGGTTTACAATTCATGATCTCAGAACTTGACTATAAAACTACATTAAGACAAATAAATATCATTTAGTCACTGTTGGTGGGAGTATAGACTGGTACTAGTGTAAACAAAATTATACAGAACAGTGACACAGAAACAGTAGTTCAGAAATATGTCTCTATATTAATGGTTGGTTTTTTACAAAAGTATAAATACAATGGAATGGAAAAAAGATAGTCTTTCAGTTTTTTATTTTTTGTTTTTTTAATACTGGCAGTTGAACTCATGATCTTATGCTTGCCAAGCAGGTGCTGTGCCTCTGAGCTATATCCCCAATTCTAGTTTAAAAAAGAAAAGAAAAGAGCCTTTCTCAACAAATGATGTAAGAAAAACTTAAATCTATGGAGAGTAACTCAAGGTGGATTGTAGACGTACATGTAAATACTAATACAATAACACTTTTAGACAAAAACACAGCAGATCATTTTGTAACCTTGGGTCAGGCGTAAGTTCTAACATCAGAAGGCCAATCCAATTTAAAAATACATTGATAAGCAACAACTTCTTCTCAAAAGACACCATTAAGAAAACGAAGAGTGAACCTAATCTTATTAAGCAAGAGAAACTACTTGTGAAATGAAGACACAATCCACAGATTGGGAAAAAAATTTTGGCAGCTGTACCTCAATCAAAATACTAATATATAGAGTATGTAAAGAACTAAAAAAAAAAAAAATCAGACTCCCTCAAATTTAAAGACCCAATTAAAAATGAGCATCTGAAATGAATAGACGCTTCTCAAATGAAGAAGCAGAAATGGCAAATAAATACAAGAAAAAGTGTTCAATATCAATGGTCATTCGAAAAACGTAATTAAAACAATGCTCAGATTCCATCGCACCCAGAAAGAATGGCTATTATCAAGACATCAACCAATAACAGGTTGGCAGGGCTTCGGAAGAAGAAACCCTTCTCCACTGTTGGTGGGAATGTAGTGAAAATCAGTGTGAAGATTCATCAAAAACCAAAAATTTGACCCAGCTGTTCTTCTTCTTGGTCTCTTCCCAGAAGAATTAAAGGTATACTTCACAGCAACATACACATCTGTGTTTCCTGCGACTCAGTTTGTAACAGCTAAACTTGGAAACGGCCCAAATGCCCATCGAATGATGAATGGATGAAGGTGTGTGGGGTTTTTATACATAAAGGAGAAGCTTGAGACATTTCCAGATAAATGGGTGCACCTGAGACCATACCCTTACATGAAACAAATTGGACCCACATGTGTAAATATTGCATTGTTTCTCTGGTGTGAGAAACTGAAAGAGTAAATAAAGATCAAAATGCATAATAGATTTTGTGAAATAGCAAAAAAATGATCAAATGGAAAGGTGAGAGAGGGAGGGAGGCAAGGGAAAGGAAGGAAGGAAAAAGAAAAGGAAAAAATAGAAATAAAGCTTTTGTAAATGAGGGGAAGAGGGACTGAAGGGAGGTTAGGGGGTGGGGGAAAAAGACCACGCACAAGTACAATCCCTCTATAATGACCAGCCTTGACCCATGGCAATTTTCTGAAGCTGTTAATTCCAAGCAGGAGCCTAAAATGGTACCTTTCTACAGTCTGTTGGCCATTTCAGAGCTTTAAAAATGCAATGGTCAATTCATTAGAAGGCAACAACTATTACAACATTCGAAAGAAGCATCTATTTGGAGGATGACAATGTACATTACAGTAACTATAGCTGATTTCCTACTGTTTTGTTTTTAAAATCCAATTATCGTTCCCAATGTTTTGTTTTACTGTTTCGTTTTTACCTTCTTTAAAAAAATCTCTATAATGAACGTGAGCATTATGTATACCTAAAATGTACCAATAAAATATATACACACATACGTACATACCACATTGTTTCTCTGGTGTGAGAAACTCAAAGGACCAATATGTATAATAGATACTGTGAAAAAAGATGAAAACATTCAAATAGGAAGGGGAACCAAGAAGGGGGGAGGAAGGGAAAAGAAAAAAATGAGAAAAGGAGAATATGAAAACAAAGCTTTGGTAAATAGGGACGGGAACAGTGGTTGAAGGGAGGGGAGGGGAATAGGAAGAAAAAAGGATCAGAATCAAGATCCTTGAGATACATCAAGGATCATCAAGTAAAAAAATAAAAAATTTTTAAAAAGATACATCAAGTGCATGTACAAATCCCTTATGATAAATGTGATCACTATGTATACCTAAAATATACCAACAAACTTAATTTTAAAAAAAAGAAGCTACATCATGTAAGAAAATATCTGGAAATCATATATCTGAAAACAGACTTCTGTCCAGAACACATAAAGTAATATAAAGACCAATTTTAAAAAAGGACAAAATATTTAAAAGGTAATATACATTTAAAGGTGATACATATGAATAGCAAGTACATTCAAATATGCTCACTAGCACCGGTCATTAGGGAAAACTATATTAAAAACACCATTTGAAACGTACTAGAATGGTCATAATGAAAAAGACCAGATACTACCAAAGAATAAAGAAATGAAAACACTCATATGTTAAAAATGTAGGCCGAGATTTAGCTCAGTGGTGCAGTGCCTGTCTGGCAAGCACAAGTCCGGAGTTCAATTCCCAGTATCATAAAAAAAAAGTGTGGGGGAACTTTGGATAACAGGATGGCAATTTCTTAAACAGATTCATTAGTTCATGCTTGTCAAACAATGGTTTTATTTAGAAGTGTTCTACCTATTTCCCCAAAAGAGCCTTTTTTATCACTAGAAAAAAGAAATAGTCTACTACATTATAATTAATCAAAATAATATTGCTTAGTAGACTCAAACCATAAAAATAAATGTCAAAATTAAGATTTCTTTTTTAATTCTCATACTTAACAGAGTCTACTCACTGCTGTTCTCTGCACTAATAAATATTAGCAGCAGGCAGAACACTAATGGAACGGCAAGGGAACATGGCCTTTACTGAGTGCCAGGCACCAAGTTACCGGGTTTACCCTTTCTACCAAAGAATCTCAGGCTTAGAGAGGACGTTCTATCTAACATCACAAAGCTCTGACTGCCAATGTAAAGCCCCTGTTCTTTCCTCTCTTTCGTAAGATTTTGTAAGATGTTAAAGGATTTCATTTCAATATAAGACTGAATCCAATGTCTGTAAATAATACAATTTAATTCCTCTGTATACCAAGCAGAATAATTCTTAAAAGTAGTCCAACAAGATAGGTACAACAGCACAGGCCTCTAATCCTAGCACTTCAGGAGGCTGAAGGAAAAGGATCACAAGTTAAATCCCACCTGGAATTTAGGGAAACTCTGTCTCAAAATAAAGATAAAGATAAAAATAAAAATAAAATAAAAGGCGCTGGGACATAATTCAGTGGTACAGAATCTGTGAGTCTGACCTCCCATTACCAGAAAAAAAGTAGTGTACCATAAAGCTATTAAAAAATAACTTTTAGCCAGGCATGGTGGCACACACTTGTAATCCCACCACTTGGGAGACTGAGACAGGAGGATTACTGCGAGTTCAAGGCTAGCCTGAACTACACAGTGAGACCTTGTCTCAAAAGGAAAAAAAAACAAAAAAAACTACTTTGGTGAAAATTTAGGAATGTCTAGTGAGGAAAGTCAGAGGTACTATGAAACTGTTATTTAGGTTAACCAAACTTGAACCTCAGAATTCACACACTCACTTAGTAAATATCTATTAAACTACCATGAGCAAGATACCACCTGTCATTCGCAAGGAACACACAAACTTTCCACTACTCCTTTAATCAATATCTATGCCACAGGACACATTATACTTGTTTTGAGATCAACCCAAGAATTTCTGACCACTCTGGGAGAATTCTAGCATTCCATAAAGTTTTATTTAAAGAGAACCAGATGTCCATGTTTCATTTCACTTAAACTTATGAGTACATAGAAAGCTTAAATTTTTGAGGTTTCATTTAGTTACATTTCATTTGATGCTTGTAACACTGGAGATACATCTTTTGGTGAGAGGATATTTTTATCATATAAGAATCTACATATTTGGTGGGAAGTTATAGTCTTCTCCAAAGGTTTTAATTTTAATTGCCTCAAAGACAGTTGCCAACAACTTAAGAGGTAACCAAGGATAAAAATAATGTAGAAGAAATAAAATTGTTCAGCCACATTACACATGGAAAACAGTACCCTAAGTTTATACTTTACCTGCAGGTTTAAGGTCTCCTATTCGAATAATGTGTGGCCAGTGCTGAAGCGTTTTAGCAAAAAAAGGGTTGGTTACTCCCAATATGACTGAGGGTCTATTAAAAACAAAACATAAATTTGAAAGGTGAGAAAACATGAATGCTAAATTAGTCAAGAATAGTTTCAGTTTCTTTTGAGTAATATATAGATTATCTTTTCCTTTACTCAATGTACTACATATCAATTACATGTCAGGCAATACACTTAGCAATAAACTTGTAAAAATGAAAAGACAGGGCTGAGGATTTACCTCAGCGGCATAAGTACCTGCCTTGCAAGCAGGCGGTCGTGAGTTCAATCCCTGGTACCGATAAAAAAGAAAAAGACCAAAAAAAAAAAAAAAAAAAAAATTAAAAAAATGAAAAGACAGAATCTTTGCAATAGCACATAGGAAGAAAGGTCTACACACCCAATTATGATGCCAAAAATTAAAAGACACTGAAGGAATAAAATGTACAATAACCACAAATGAAAATCTATAGTCCCCAGGGGATTAAATGACAGCTTTTCCAAAGAGCTGACATTTACATAAGCTGTGAAAAATGCACAAGAGTTTTCTGCTAACGTAAAGGCAATGTAGAGCACATGCCATGTGCCACACAAATAGGTGCTCTCATAGTACACACACAGAACCACACACAGCCAGCATTCTTTGGAGCACAAACCAGGAAGAATGCATAGTCATAGATGGGCAGAACCAAGTTCATATGCTCAGAAATTCAGATGTTACCTCACAGGCTAAGAGAAGCTAGAGAAAAAAGTGCAGATAAGCATGAGTGAGAAGGACCACTTTGGGAAAAATCTGGAAGATGTCCTAAAAGATGAAAGGGACTAGGGAGAAAAGCAACAGTGGATATGAGAAAGACCAGAAACAAGACTGGGAAGGGTGGGAAGGGTGCTATTCAAATCTTATGAGATATTTTAGGATTTAAATTTATAAATTTGGTTAGCATTTGATGTGGGGCATGTTAAGAAGGAGATGTCACAACTTAACTTTTTAACAACTAGGTAAAAACTTGTACCATTTATGAAAAAAGGAAGAGGCACACAATTAGAAGGGAAAAAAGAATTCAGTTTAGTGCCAGGGGATTAAGTTCAGCAACACAAATGCCTGCTTAGCACACGCAAGGTCATGATTCAATCCCCAGTACCAAAAAACAAAAACAAACAAAAAGAGAATTGAGTTTGAACATATTTAGTTTAAATATATTAAGAAGCCAGGTAATCCCAGCACTTGGGAGGCTGAGGCAGAAAGACTGCTGTAAGTTTGAGGCCAGCCTGGGCTATAAAGTGAGTTCAAGGACAGCCTGAACTGCATAGTGAAACCTTGTCTCAAAAAAGCAACATAAATAAATAAATTCAGAGGTACAGGTAATGTGTTTAAGCAACAGCAACAAAACCCCCTGTATAGGAATTGCCCTTGCACAAATCTGGGCTGGGAAGATACATTTCATTCATTAGTGTGAGGTCTTAACAGAGGCAACAAGTACTGACAATACTGGAAAGAAAGAATTATCAGTCTGAAATCAGAACCCAGAACACAGTATTAGAAAACATGGAAAGACAGTAGTGAAAATAGCCTGCAATGTTTCTGTACTGAAACATACCACCAGTGAACCAAGAGACAGATAAAGAATCAAGGATAAAAATATTTTCAAGATTACAGAGTAACCGTTATAAAAAAGAGAAGTCAGAAAAAAAAATCAAGCAATAATGCACTTACTGGGTCAGACAGTGAGAAGGGTCTTGAATTTGGGAAAAAAAAATCAGTGGATAAAGAGAAGTAAACCTGCAGTTAATTTTTGAGAAACAATCAGAAAACCAAAAAGTAGAGACAGTAAATGGAGATCCTTGTTGTTGTCTGGAAACTTAGTAAAGGACTAGGTTATAGCTCAGCAGCACAGTGCCTACCTGGCAAGCACTGAGGTCATGAGTTCGATTACCAATACCAAAAAACAAAACAAAACAAAAAAAAAACCCAAAAAGACACAGTTATGAAAAGAAGCAATAAACAGATCATTTTTCCCAAGGCCGTGGATTTAGCTCAGCGACATAAGCACCTTCCTGGCAAGTACTAGGTCATGAGTTCAATCCCTAGTACCACAAACAAAACAAAACAAAACAAAACAAAAAACAGATTATTTTTCTGTTCTACAGATTGGAGAGATTTTATAATGACAATAGAATCAAAGTCTAATGATTATTAATGACAACACAAATTCCATTAACAAAATGACTGATAGAGAATATTCTAACTCTTTAAAATCTTAAGCTACTATCAGCAATTCACACCTTCTTTCATAAAATCTGCCAATAAGCTAAACATCTAAATTAAAATTTTATTACCAAAAATAATTCTAGATAATTTGGGTTATAAAGATAATACCTGGTCAATAAAAGTTATTCTGTTTACTCACGGAGCTTGAGTACGGGTAGTATATTCTTTGAATTCACTATCATGAATAGTGAAATAAGGTCGGAAATCACTGAAGTACTTTAATGGAGAAATACAGCTGTGGAATAGGAAAAATATGTAAAACAATGGACACAGAAATTAAAGGTCCTACTCTTTTAAGTGTGGACATCTATACAAACAGTAGGTAAGAAATGAGAGAACATATTTATTTCAGTGAATGGTATAGTCATTTTAGGGAACTAAAAAGACAAATAAATATGCAACATGAAATGGCATACAGAAGGACACGGATATAGGGCAGAAAATGACATGAAACTCTGGCTGTGCCATTCCCTAGCTATGTGCCTTTGATAGAATACTGGCCACGCATATTACTATTTATCAGGGGACATGTTCACATAAATGAATGAATGCTTGTCATGCAGGACACAGAGACATGGATCTGCCCTCATGGAACTAGTACTTCATTGTCCATAAGATGGTGCTCTAATAGCACTACCTTCTGATAGTACTGTTTTAGGGATTGATGGAACAATGCGTGGGGAAATACATCAGACACTGGAAAATGCCATTGACCTCTGACCATTAGGAACCATGCATACTCACTTCACAAGGGCCAGTACAGTCTCTGAAGATTCCGATGGTGATGGAGCCATCACCACGAGAGGCTCTCCCAACAGCACCAGCTCCCAAAGCATCTGACTATGAAGAAAAACTGGGCAGAAACACCTAAGAAGTGTTTACACAGAAATATTTTGTTATTTTCCCAATTCTGGTGTTTAAATTCCTACATGATTCTTTTTTTCTTTTTTAAGGAAAGGATTTACTCAACAAAAGCTCCAAGGGAGATGGAGAGGCCTGTTTGCCTCAAACACCATCTTCCCCTGTATGGGTGGACAAGGGCCTTTCATAGTAAGGAACAGCAGAGGGGATACAAAGATACAACGCAAATCACTTTTGTTTCATCACTTCTAGCCACCTTCAGTTCCTTGTCCCCTTCCTTACGGCCGGGCAACTATGCTCCATTCAGGTTCCCTTGTACTAATATCTGTATATATATTGTCACTTCTTTTAGGCTGAGGAAGATGCCGGTGGGTGTTGATTCCATGCTTCAGCAAGATGTCTGGGGAAGTTGCTTATCTCACACCTCCTTAGCACTGTGGGCCTTCAGAAGTGTAGACTCAAATGTCTGGGTTTCTTTGGGCAAGCCCTTTGCCCTGCTCAGAGTGTCAGGGGCCCCATTATGCATAGATGAGAAGCAGGTGTGTAGGTTTTTGCAAACTAGCAGCCTGGTTCCTCTTGTGTTTTGGTGGCAGGACTTCAAGCATGCTAAGTAAGCCTATCCCCCTACATAATTATTCTGAAAACTTCACATTGATGTAATTCTTTCTGCATTTTGTATTTTGATCTGGCATACAAATTACACATAGAGACAAGTTTCTTTTTATACATAAAAATATATATCAATTTGACTCATTCCAATTTTTATAAAATCATTTTTTGTTTCGGTTCTTTGGAGGGTTTTGTTGTTTTGTTTTGTTTTGTTGAGACAACGTCCTCATTTTGTCCCCAGGCTGGCTTCAAATTTAGAGCAATCCTCCTACCTTAGCATTCTTAATGCTGGGATTACAGTCATGCACCACCACACTCAACTCTTTCAAAATGAAATGCAACACTCGACACACAAAATAGCTGATGAATAATAAAAGTGTGCAACTGTTTGTTTGTTTGTGGGAGAGGGGTTTGAGACAAAATCTGGTTATGTAGTCCATGCTGGCCTTGGACTCTCAGCAATCGTTCTGCCTCAGGATGAGTACTGGGATTACTGGTATACAATAGCACGCCTGGCAGAAAAAGTGTAATTCTTAAACTGGTATACTATATGATAGATTTATTAATACTACTATGTTATGTTTCAATATCTACTCTAAATATTCTAAAGGGAACAAAAAAATTAAAAAATTTCCCAAGGGAGCACCTATGGGATATAGTACTACTGCACTAGGGATATAGCTCAGTAGTACAGTGCATGTGTAACATACAGGAGGCTCTGGATTTGATCCCCAGCATGCAGAGATTAAAGATAAGAGACTAAAGATAGAGACAGATGAAGGAGGGACTTTTTAAAAAATAGTTAAAAGCAGTATTAAGGAGGAAAAAGCAAAACAAGAAATTTAATCTATAACTGACCAATAAACATCAACTGAGACTCACTACTTTGGACCAGCAAAAACCAGATGCTTTTGATATTAAAGAATGACAATAACAAATCACTAGGAAGAGTGCTAATGATGTACAAAAGAATTACTTCCCAGCAGAACATAAAAAGAAGTTGTGTATTTTTATAGTGGCCCTGGAACTGAACGAAGCCACAACTCTACTAATACTTACTAGGGTTAGACATTTGGTAATTTTTACTTACTCAGTTATTATTCTCCTGGTTTGGTAACAATTTTTCCTAGCAGATTACAGGGGAGGAAAAACACCCTTAGCTGTTTGTGAAGATCATAACCAATCCAAAACAACTAAAAACACACACACTTAGGGCTAGCAGAGTGCTTGCCTTGCACACGGGAGACTCTAGATTTCATCCCCAGTGCAAAACCAAACCAAGGGCCAGAAATACAGCTCAGTGGCGCAGCGCCTGCCTGACAAGCACAAGGTCCTGAGTTTGATTCATAGTAAAAAAACGAAAAACAAAAAATAAAACAAAACCCACATATGGGTTGTATCTAGATGTTCCCCCACCCAAAGCCACTCAGTCAGTCATAGGTGGGGCTTTTAGAATGTGTGACACTGGGATCAGTGCTAGGATCAAGGGCACTGGGATTGAAAATGTTGAGTGCTCCCCACCCTAAATAGCCTTGGTGAGATGTAAGGGATAAAAAGAACTGTGGTTGACCTTTGTTTCTTTGCTACCTCTGCCTGTCATGAACTGTTTCTGCTCTGCAATCCCTGTCTGTCATGCTATCCTGTCTTGAGGCCAGCCAATTATGATTGTTACTGAAATCCCTAAAATACTGTGAGCTAAATAAACTTTTCACTCTGTAACTCAGCAAGAAAAGTAATAGGACAACACACTAGAAAAATGAAAGTAACATTTAAATGCAAAAATATGCAACAAATCTGAGGTGGAAATTAGTAGAGTTACTTTTAACTAGTTGAAGACAAAAGGGAAATGTGAGGGAAGTGCTCCCCCAAGAAAACATGGCCAAGGATAAGGCCAAGGGTCTCTTCCTCAGCCTTTCCTAATTGAATTCTGAAGCAGAACAAGGCAAACATTTCTATCCTGAAGAAAAGAGAGCCATGTTGGTCCAGATGTACGTATCAGAGCTTTGTGTGACAAGTGGCCATCCTTGTGCCGGGGCCTGCTCTGGACCCTGGAGAACCTTGATGTGTAAGGTATATGGGTGGGGGTGATTCGGTTGGGGGGTACAAAGCCCAGGATGTATGTGCCGAGGAAGCACAGACAGATACCCCATATGTCATGTGAGAGCCACAGTGGGTTGAAGAAGTGTGAACACATCTGTCTGGCACAACATGTCCAAGCAGAGGAACAAAGTTATTACTATGGACGAGCAGTCTGGAATAAAGTGTGTAGGCACACAAGTGGAGGACAGAGGGCACTCACATGACACTGAGAGTCAGAGCTCAAAAGGGCAAAAATACCATCCACTTACAGAGGTGACCCAACGGGACATGGGAACCTGCATGGGAGGGGAAGATACCCACGTCGGGGTCAAGCACGCAGAGTAAAATCCCGAGTGGGATTACTGAGCAGAGTAAAGAGCAACACAATGCAGAAAGGGGGCCAGGTACAGAGTAAGAGAGCCAAGTAAGGGTAAGAAAGGCACCTGCATAAAGAACATGGCTGCAGCAGAGGGCATACTGGCTACTACAGGGTCTTAGAGCGAATCAATAAATAAAAATTAAAATAGGCAGCCTCTCAGAGAAAAGAAATAGAAATATGTAAAGGCAGAAAACCTAAAACAGACCATGTCATGCTGCACTGGAATCGAGGATATCAGTGTGAATTTATAACTTTCAATATGTGTCGATACAGAGCTAAATATGTGTGTATAATGACTGCTTACATGGACATGCTTTTACATGCACACACACACACACACCCTGATTCCACTAAGAGAGCCTAAAAGCAGTCAAACTTCCTAAGTGTTATCTGCCCTGCCAGTGAACACAAAGCCAAAATCACTTCATTCTCAAGTTCCAAGGCAGAGGCAGAAGGAAAGGAGAAGGTGTAACTGATGTGCCTCTCACTGCAGTGGAGCCAACAGCAATTATCACCAGGTAAAGTGTCCCAATCGTAAGAGGCCAAGGCAAGAGAACATCAGTGTCAACTAGTTCACAAAACTGACCTCAACTTAAAAATTAAACAAAAGAGCTATTTTTATGATCAAGAGACAGCTTGATCCACTGAATATTAGCATAATAAGTCTTGGCCTAATAAAAGGATCCCACCATCAACTCTATCTTGATATGCAACATCAGATGCCTTTCCAGTTATTGGCTCTTTGCTCTCAAGCTAAATCCTGGTATAAAAATATCAATTCAAAATTACTGGTGTACATTTAAACTCTCAGTCACACTTACATAAAATGTAAACTCTACATACAAAATAGATTATAAAATATTAATTTAATAATCAGATATTAAATGCTTAACAGTACTACTACTCTGAGACTATTTTTCAAGGTATATTTTTCTCATTTTTGAGGAAGAAGAACTAAAAAACAATATACCCTACTTTGAAAACAGTAATATGTAATTTGTATTCAAGAGAAGAGACACATTCTAATCAAATACTACCAAAACACAGGTAATTGGTAAAAAGGTGTAAAACTCATTCCTAGAAAATTTTTAATGATAATTTAATTTTATTTTATGCCCATCCCTCAAATTATTCCTTACTAAATGAAACATTACAATACCATCATTCTCTGACCAAAACAAAAAACATTTGTTTTTACCATGTAGTTCTCAAACCATAGTCAAACTTTCTTGTCAAAGTTCATAAAATCCAGTCAGGGATAATCATTGATTTTTTTTCCCCCTGAGATGGAATCTTGCTATGTAGTGCAGGCTGGCCTTGAACTCACTGAGCTCCGACTGGCCTTGAACTTGAAGTGACCCTCCTGCTCAGCTTCCAGGCACTGATCTTTCACCATGTAATATACTTTCACCCAACTTTTTCCACATCATCCATAAGAACACTCATTTTCTAACTAAATTACCAAGTAAGACAAAGCAAGACATAAAAGGTAGATAAAGTGGTTTTTTACCTGAAAAGATCCACCTCATGAACAGTAGGTAAAATAACAGATATGTGTGTATTTGCCTAAGAGATAAAAAGAAAAAATAATAGAAAAGATATCACTAAGGTATACAGAAACTAATTTTTAAAATATGCCTATCAAGTTCATGATCAATAAGCTATGTATCCCTATCAACCTTTTTTAAAGATTCATTTCCTGCAGGAGCAACCAGAAAGAGAAGTAGTCTTACAAATCTCCCTTAATACAGAACAAGACAGAAAAAACATAGATACCATGGATAAGGAAGGAATTATCCAGTAGTTAGATGTTAGATTAGTTCACAACCGTATGAAATACTGTCATTTAAACTAGTTGATATAAGTACAGGGGAAAAATCTTACTGCTCTCCATTTTTATTCGGTTTAAAACACAAAGGGAGTGCTAACATACCAATAAAACATTTCAACCCCACCCATGAGCAGATGTGGTTTTCAGAGAAAGCAAAGGGAATCATAATTACAAAAATCTTTGACAGTCTCCTAAAATCAGAAGTTTTCTGGCCACTTTTCTACAAAAAAAAGGCTTTACCAGAATTAAACCTTGCTGAAAAAATACCTTCCCTTTGTCCTAACAATTACAGTACAATTCTGGGTTCTCCAGTGTCTACTGGAGAAATAACAAGAAACAAAACAAAGTTTATTATCAATTCACTGGAAAATTACTTCACAGGGTATTTCAGTAATATCCAGAAATATATGACAAACTCAAGAAACCATATTTGCTAGTTTTAAAATTCTGCGATCATTTACCATGTTCTACATACTACCTGTTGAGTTAGCTGTGTTATTTGAGTAGGCCCAGGCTTGTCATGACATGTGGGAATCCGTACCTTAAAAAGATAAGAAATGATCTTTGGCTACAAATGAATGGGGGATCAGAGTACCCTATTCTGCTGCTATAAAGGTATGGTCAGCAATGCCTAAAAATATAACAGATTAGCCTGCCATAGTGGTGCACGCCTGTAACTCCAGCATGAGAGGCAATGGGACAGGAAGATCTTCACAGAGTTCGAGGCTAGTCTGAGTGCAGGGCCAGTCTGAACTACACAGCAAGACCCTATCTGAAACAAAGCAAAGCAAAGCAAAACAAAACAAAAACAACAGACAAAAACCCCATGTCAGATTAAAAAACTAAGGCTAAATTCATTTTTAATCACATCAAAAAGCACAAAGTCTTCATATTCACAAACACAGAGAAATCACTAACTTACTGAGACACAAATGTGCCAAAAAATATAAAAAGGACATCAACATAACACTGTTTTTTGTTTATTGTTCCAGTCTTTGCTTCATTAATATACACACACCCAAACACACCCCAAGCTTGCCAAACTTTTGGATAAATTCCACAGGAAACAAACCAGGGCTCTCAACTCAGGGCTATCAGTAAAACATCTGATGATTTCCCAAGGAAAAAAACAGATGACATAAAAAAATGAGCAAATCTAAAGAGAGAATACTGTAAAAAATAAGTCCGATTTGACAGTGATTGCAAAGTACTTAAAGTACACGCATATAAGGTCTAAGAGTAAAATGCTAATACATTAAACACATACACTCACACACACAAACACAGCAACAGCCACCCACAAAATAACCCTGACAGAGAATACCCTGGGAAGAACATGTTTGGATTGACATTACATGTTAAGATTATTTATGACTGCTGAGCACAGTGATGCATGCCTGTAATCTTAATACTTTGGAGGCTAGGGAAGAAAGATTGCTGCAAGTTCAAGGCCAGCCAGGACTATATAGTGAGTTCAAAGTTAGCCTGTGCTACACAGCAAGACTCAATGGCTTTCCTAATTTCCCTGGATTTTCAGTATTTCAAACTTAATTCTTCACGTAATCTGTTTCTGCTATCATTCATCCCTGAAGGTACTGCAGTTGTAGAATTCTAGGAGTTAGCATTTACATTCACTTGCATGACACAGGAATGACACTCCTGTGCAGACGGGATGCAGTAGGACTGCAGACCTGTGGAGCTATGTTACTGCTAGCTGTGTGAGGCAGGATGAATTCGGTATCTCTAATGCCTCACATCAATGGCAAACAAGTGAAAGAAGTAATACCGCTAAACGTTAGAAACGAAGAAAGCAGAACTCACCTGTGTGTTTCCCTGTAAGCTGTTCTATTTTATATTTTTAAAATTTTACTTATTTATTTAGAGAAAGGATCTAGCTATGTAGCCCAAGCTAGCCCTGAATTCACAGTGATCTTCCTGCCTCAGTTTCTCCAGTGCTGGGATCACAGGCACCATACCTAACTACAAAGCTGTTTTGTTGTTGTTGTTGTTGTTGTTTTGTCTTTTTTGAGATAGGGTCTCCCTATGCAGTTCAGGCTGGCCTTGAGCTTACTTTGTAACTCAGGCTGGTCTCAAATTTGCAACGATCCTCCCACCTCAACCTTTTGAGTGCTGGGATTACAGGCGTGAGCCACCACGCCCAGCTACAGAGCTGTTTTAAAAGGAGACAAATTGGGTCAGTTGTGGTGGTGCATGCCTACTGTCGCAGCACTCAGGATGCTAAGGCAGGAGGATCACTGAGAGTATGAGGCCAGCCTGAGCTACAGAGTAAGTTCAAGGCCAGCTTGAACTACACACTGAGACTCTGTCTCAAAAACACCAAAGAAAGAAAGAAAAAAGGGAGAGAATAGAATAGAACAGAGACAGCTATAAATCTGCGATGGCGAAGCCTTTGGAGTCGAGTACCCAAACTGCAACTCAAAACCTACCTATTCATTACAAAGTGCCAATGCTGCAATTAAACCTGAAGACTGAGATTTTAGTTTAGAAAACATAATTCATATGTTAACATCTTTTGTCTTGAATGAAAAGCACAGTAGCACACATGTCATAGGCTTGCCACCACTGTTGTCAGCTATTACCTTCATTACTACTCCCATAATAGGCAGGTGCAACGTTTTCCCTGGCACTGGGGCAGGCCATCTATCAACATCATTACATGCTGAAAAATACAACAAACATTTGCTTAGAATAAGTAAAAATATTAAAATATTAAAATGAGGCATTGGAAATTAGAACTTTACTTTCTGTAAAGCGGGAAAAATACACTGGTAAGAATACAAAGTAAAAGAAAAGCAATATGTGATGAAACATCTTACATTTCACTCAGAGAAACTTATGTTCTAGGTAGGACACGAATTGGCTAATACTTCTTTTCTTAGCAGTAATGAGGACTGAACCCAGGGCCTCACACATGGTAAGCAAGCACTCTAACCACCGAGCTCTATCCCCACTCTTTTTTTGTTGTTGTATTGTTGTGCTGTTTTGAGACAGGGTCTCACTGAGGTACCAACTTTCAATACTCCTGCTTTATCCTCCCATGTAAACAGGTTTACAGGCATGTGCCACCATGCATGGCAATAAAATTTTTGAACATGACAAACAAATAGGTTTAAAGGAAGTTTTTCTATTTATTTATTACTACTAAAATCAGCTGCAAATGAAAAGCCTGGGGTGGTGGCACATTCCTATAATCCAGTATTTAGAGGCTGAACCCTCAAGGAGGATCACTGCAATTTAGAGGCCAGACTGGACTACACAGTGAGTTCAACACCAGCCTGAAGTGAGACAATGTCTCAAAGCAAAACCAAAATTAATTAATCAATTAATTAAATTAGCTACAAATGCACATTACCCATCTATTTTGTTGGGGGTGATAACAACACATATTATTTTTGGTGTTTATAGGAAAAGAGGCCAAATAGTTTTGTATCTCTCCCTCCCTCATATAATCCTTAAATTATTCTCCAAATTTTTTAAGGTCAACTTTTTGATAAAAGTTTTAAAACTTCATAAAGCTATATAATTCATACAGTGTTTAACTTACCTGCTTCTAAATAAGGTTCATTCTTTTCAAAATACTCCGGTGCTATCTGTTTCAGCACAGTGTGAAAAAAATGAATGTAAGGTAGTTTGCTGATCAAAACCAATGACTAGGGGGAAAAAAAACAAACAAGTTTTAAAAATTATCTAATTATTACAATTTAAGTCTACCATTCACACCTTGCAAGAGCAATTACTAACTAAATTCAACAAAAAGTGTGGATTTTAAAATAAAAAGGCTTTTTACAATAATTAAAAGCAATCACAAAACCTCAGTTCTATCAAATGGAAAGGTAAACCTTATTACCACACTTTCAGACTATTAGGGCATATTCACTGACATCCCTGATCTTCAGGAAAAAGAATTACCTACAAACAGACTAATGTCATGAATAATTTTCACAGTCTAGCTATAGCTATCCACAACACAGCAATAATAGGGATTAGCCATAAAAATTCTTCCTATTAAGGAAAGAAGAAATTGTATGTTTTTCCCAAAGATCTATGACTATTATATTGTACTGTTCAACTGTCATGGCCATATTTTAGAAACTGTGATTTTATAGTTTGACCACTTAGGATTTAGAACATGCTAATTTATAAAACATTTTTCTCGGGGTGTGGTTCTGACGCAGCAGGATCACCGTGAGTTTGAGGTCTGCCTGGACTCATAAGTTCACGGCCAACTTGGGTTACAAAGTGAGATCCTGTCTCAAAATACAAAAAAAAAAAAAAAAGAAAAGAAAAGAAAAGCAACTTAAAAAAAAGTTTTTCTTGAAAGCTAGTCTTTATCTTTCTATCCAGCATCAATCAGTAGACAGGGCAAATTCTGGTTATAAATAGTAAAGTTCTGCTTGCTTGGATTGACTAGCATGTACTCATTTTTCTTTATTTCTTTTTAAAAGGCTGTACATTTAGAACAGAAACAATAATTGCTGAGGTGTTGATGAAGTGTATTTACTGGTTATATGAAAAAAGATACTGCAAACTTTATCAGTTATAACAATATTACAATCTAATTATTTTTTCAGTTATTCTAAAATGTCAATTAAGACTCTTCCATACAATAACTGGAAATTATCAGGGTTCTATAGCACAAAAATAGGAAAACTTCAACAATGCTTCAAAATCTAGGAACAAGCATGCACAATCTAAAACTGGGCGTGGTGGCACGTCTGTAATCCTAGCGCTCCGAAGGCTGAGGCAAGAGACTGCTGCAAACTTGAGGCCAGCCTGGTGTATACAGTGAGTTAACAGCCTGAACTACCCAGCAAGACGCTGTCTCTAAAAGAAAAAAAAAATGTGTAATCTTTAAAAATGCAGATAAAATAGTAAGTCTAGCACTTTTAAAGATAAAATACCTAAAATTTTAAAGATTTAAATGTTTCAATTTTTATTTCTTTTCTCTTCTTTTTTTTTTTTTTTTTTTTTTTTTTAAGTAATAGACCTTAAAAGCAGAATATATTTACCGGGGAAAGAAAGCTTCTGTCTGAGAAAGACAGAAGGGGTTTTGAGTATGCTGCGCTGTTTCTATTTTTCTAATCACAACGTGAAAATACTAAAAGCCGGCATGGTGGCACCTTTCTGTAATCCCAGCACTTGGGAGGCTGAAGCAGAAAGATTGTTGTAAGTTTGAGGCAGTCTGGGCTACAGAGTGAGCAGAAAGCCAGCCTGAACTGCATAGCAAAACCCTATCTCAAGAGACTAAATAAATACTTTATTAGTATATATGAAAATTACCTTCTGAAAGTAGCCTCTCTTAAGAGTTTTATCTCGAACTTGTCGAAAATATACATATCCATAAAAATAAGCAGGGTCTTTCTATAAAGGAAGTGACAAAATAAAAATGTTATTTTTCTGTATCTATCTTCATATATAAACACACACATATATACAGCCATTTTTTATTTTTATTGATTTATTTTTTGTCATTTTGAGACAGGGTCTTGCTATGCAGTTCAGGCAGGCCTTGAGCTCACTTTGTAGCCCAGGCTGGTCTTGAACTCATAACGATCCTCCTGCCTCAGCCTCCCGAGTGCTGGGATTACAAGCAAGTGCTGGAATTACAGGTGTGAGCCACCACACCCAGCATGACCATCTTTTAATATTAACATTAGGTTAACCCAAATCAAGATGTAAGGAACACACAAAGAACTAGTTATGCTTTTCTGTCAACAAACAATAATCATGACAGTAGTTGCAAATAAAAACCTACTAATTTGCCTAAAGATTAAAGACTTGAGGCTAACTGCATTTTACATCTTATCTTATATTCATTATTCATATCTAGAGTAGTTACTGAAGCTAGAAAAATGGGGCTGGGGATTTAGCTCAGCAGCGTAAACACCTTCCTTGAAAGCGTGCAATCGTGAGTTTGATCCCCAATACGGATTAAAAAAAAAACAACCAAATTCTGTATTTTCCCCAATGTTATATTTTGTAAAATTTCTTCTCTCTCTTTACAATTGTTTAGTCTTGAACTTGTCAGGGATGTAAGTGGTCAACCTTTACTAAAATGAGATGTCCTAATATAAAATTTCAAGAGAGAAAATAAAAGGCATTAAATGCCAATCTGAATTGTATGTACTAGTCAGTTATTATGTTAGTCCAATAATAATGACTTTCTAAGTGGTTTTTTTTTTTTCCTTTTTTTTGGTATTGGGGATCAAATTCACGACCTTGTGCTTGACAGGCAGGTATATATGCCACTGAGCTAAATCCCCAGGCCCCTCTAAGTGGTTTTTAACACACAATTTGAAAGGTAATCACACTCTAAAACCAATGGAGCTTTGAGATCCTAATGAAATAAACTTTGGTTTACTTTCTAATTTGATTGTTATTTCTTTAGAAAGTATTTATTAACCTCCTCCTTCAAAGGTATCATGTTCAGATAAGGAGATGTATACACCATGGTTCTTTAAGGAGATTATAGTCTGGGAAGGGTATAAAAGTACAAAAATGATTATTATGTATGAAGGGTAAGTTCCACAAAAAAAAAAAAAAACACAAATTGTTACAGGAAGGTCAAGAAAGAAGAGTAATGATTACAAGGAAGCAGCTAATTTTTAACTGGGTATTTAAGAATAGATATAATTTATACAAAGAAAAAGACACTGCAGATTTAGAGGGTCAAGAGTTTGAGCAAAAACAAGAAAACATAAGCTTCTTGAAGAAAAAGCACAAGTACACAAGAAGAAGGTGGAAACTGGAAAGATAAAGGGTCTTATTTATTTTGTTAGATTCAAGATAGTGAGGACAAGGGAACAGTACCATCACTAGCTCTTTACTCATGCAGCAGGTGCTCATCATTTTACACTCTGATTATTTTTAAACTATATATACTTTAGCTGGAAACACTTTGCAAGATCAAGTGCTTTGGAAAAGTAAGAATTGGAATGTCTTTGGGCAAATTTCTTATCCTCAATATCCCTCATTTCCCTCATCTATAAAAGGAACTCCCTCAGAGGACTGTGGGGAGGATTAATGTGGTGATATACCTACTAATACATACAAGACCTAGAACACAATGTGCCTAATAATAGCTATTATTATAACTGATTGGAAGAGAGTGTTCAAGAGACATTCCAAAGATAGAAACTTTGCTGAGAGAGGGTTCCTGCCCAAGCGGAACAGGAAGGTCAACTGTAAAAGCTGACTTCAAGCCAATGACATCATTTATACTGGATATGCTGACCGGACAGCAAGGTGGAAATGTTCCTCATGCAGTTAGAGACATAAGCAAGAATACCAAGGAGAGACACATACAGATTCTAAAATCATCTGAATGATTAAAACTGTTTCAAAAAACAGTAACTATAAACAAAGCTCATTAGAAAATCAAGAGGAAATAACTATACATTGTCATACAGTATAAGGGATCACCACAGGGAACAACTACTCCAACTCTGGAAGTATGGACTGCTTAGTGCCACCCCACCCCCACATCTAAACAAAGAATTATTTTTTTTTGGTACCAGGAATCGAACTCAGGACCTCACGCTTGCCAAGCAGGTGTTGTGCCACTGAGCTACATCCTAAAGCCCGAAACAAAGATTTATTAACAAAAGAAAACTATCTCAGCATTCTAATCCATTTCTATAATTCACAATGGCATTATATGTTTTAAGAACAATAACTTTATTCAGTCTCAATCATTTATAGGCTAAAACCTTGTCAGTTACATTCTCTTAAGAAATTAGGCTATATAATAAAGTAACAAAATAAAAGTAAAACAGTTCTGAATACTGTAAGAGGTAACTAAGAAAATGAGTTTTAATGTAGCATGTTCTAAGAGCTCCTTCTCCGCTGGACATGTTTCTATAACTACTTTTCCAACCTTTAAGTAAACTGGTAAATCTTTGTCAAATTGATCCAGAAGACAATGCAGTGACACCCTCCTCCCAGAAGACCGCCGAAATCTAAAACAAAACTGGGTATCTCCAAGACAACCTAGTGAAAACAAAAACGAAACAAAGTAAGGATAGTGTAGTAGGACATTTACTTATCTAGTTTCATCATTTTTAGAGCTAAAGGAATTCTACAAGGCATTAAACATATCCTGTCATGTTTTACAGAAGAGACCCTAAAAGTCCAAGTGCCTTGCTCAAAGCAGAAGCAAAGTCAGAAGTAAGACATGTACTAATTCATAAGTCTCTGATTTTCCTATTCCATTTTCCCCATGCAATTAAAAATTTTGGAATCTACCTAGCATAATAATGAACAAACCAAACCAAACATAAATCCATGTAGGTACCACAAAAAAGTTAAATCAACCACAGCTATATAGGCACACCCATATCTATAGCAGTACAGTCTGAAACAGCCAAATCTTGGAAATAGCCCAAATGCCCATCAACGATCAGTGGATAAAGAAGACGTGGGATTTTTACAAAATGGATTACTATTCTGCCATAAAGAAAGATAAGCTTGAGGCATTTCAAGATAAATGGATACACTTGAGACCACAGTCTTAAGTGAAATAAACCAGACACACACGTACAAATAAATGCCACCCTCTTTCTCTGGTGTGAGAAATCAAAAGTGTAAATAAGGGCCAACATATATAATAGATATTGTGAAATGGGAAGAAAATGTTCAAATGAAGAAGGAAACAAGGTAGGGAAGAGCAAGAAAGGAAGGAAGGGCAAAGAAAATGAGAAAAGAAGGAAAGAATGGAAACAAAGCTTTTGTAAATAAGGAGGGAAAGAGGGAGTAAAGGGAGGGTAGGAGAAGGGGGAAAAATCAAATTATATCTCATACAGGTACAAATTCCTTATGATGAATGTGATCACTATGTATATCTAAAATATACTAGCAAACAATTGAAAAAAGAAAAGCAGTAGTGTTTATAGATACATGACTGGATCGTAAATATATAAAGAAAAGAAATTGAGCATAATGCTACAGGACCTTAATCCCAGAATTCTGGAAGGCTGAAACAGGATTGCAAGTTCAAACTCACCCTAGGCTATTTAGCTCTTTAGCTTCTTTCTTTCTCTCATGTCTTTCTTTTTTTTTTTCTAAACAGTGTCTCACTATTTAAAAAAAGATTGGCCTTGAATTTACAGCGATCCTCCTGCATCTGCCTCCCAAGTGCTGGGATTACAGGCATATGCCACCATGTCCAGCTTTACTTAGCTTCTTAATGAGATTCTGTCTCAAAAATTTAAAAAGGGTTTGATGTACAATAGGACAGTGCAAAGGTTCTAGGCTCAGTCCCAAGGGGGTGGTGCTGGCAACAAACTTATACAATCAGTTTTGCAATTACACATAGGGGAAGAATGATGGGAGGACGTGCGTGGCACAAAGAGATTTTTGAGGTGTCGCCAAAATTCTACTTCTTGACCTTTAATATTTCACATGAAAAGCTCTTGTTTCATTGTTGTACTGGGGCCTTACCCGCCCTAGGAATGGGATCTACTACTAAGCTATGCCCTTAACCTAAAGAAATGTTCTTTTAAAAAGATATAATACAGGCAGGCATGGTGGTGCATGCCTATAATCCAAGTACTCTAGAGGCTGAGACTGGAGGATTGTCAGGAGTTCCGGGCCAGCCTGGGCCACACTGTGAGTTTGAGACCAATAAGAACTACAGAATGAAACCCATCTCAAAAAATAATAATAATAATAAAATTAAAAAAAAAATATATATATATATATATGAAGAAGACTCTAGGCCAAGGATTTAGCTCAGCAGCATAAGTGCCTGCCTGGCAAGTGCAAGGTTGTGAGTTAGATCCCTGGTACCACCCAAAAAAAAAAAAAAAAAAAAAAAAAAAGACTCTAAAACAGAGACCAAGAAATTAACTTTAATCATCTGAATTAAAAATGAATTTTTTAAAACCTTAGTAGTTTTAGTAAATCTCTTAAAATGTACATTTTAATTGTCAGGCAATAACTGTTAAAAAAAACTGTAAACTATAAAAATGTGTCCATCTAAAAACACATGAAAAAAAAACTCATGAAGGCCAGGGATATAGCTCTGGCACAGTACCTACCTGGCAAGCACGAGGTCATGAGATCAATCCCTGGTACCAAAATAAAAGAGCTACATACTGAGACTGTGTTTCAAAAAAAAAAAAATGAAGTAACATGTCATTCAAATTTTTCCCAGTTAGCCTGGGCATGGTGGTATATGCTTGTAATCCTAGAACTCACCTGGCTGAGGCAAAAGGATCTCAGAGAGTCTAAAGCAAACCTGGACTACATAAAAAAATTCAAGGATACCCTATACTACATAAGACCCTGCCTCAAAAACAAACATACAAACAAACATTAACATTCTAATAAATACGAAATGTACTCAATATTTGTATTATTACTATACACATAATCACCAAATGACACTTTAGAAAGGAAACAGAAACAATATGCTGAAAAAATTTTAAAACAGCCTAGCACATATACCTAAATGCAACTATAGTCACTAATATTTCTTTGGTGGTAGAAAACAAAAAGGCTAAAAGCTAAGTTGATTCAGTTTCTTCACTTGTTCAAGCAAATAGTTTAAAAAATAAGGCAAGCACATAAAATGTGAGATAATGGGAAATACATACATATACACACACACATGTATATACATATACACACATACCCTTATAGCTCAATTTTCCTATTTTGGGTTTGTTTGTTTGTTTGTTTGTGAGATAGTCTCACTGTGTGGCCCAAGGCTGGCTTTAAACCCATGGAGTTCCCTTTGCCTTAGCCTCTGAAATGCTAGGATTACAGGCATACACTACCACCTGACCCTGAATTTTCCTCTAGACATTGAAATCTTTTTTAAAAAGACAAAAAAAAAAAAAAAAAAAAAAAGAAAGAAAGAAAGAAAAAGTACACACTAATTTCTCTGACACTCTTAGCAAGAAAAAAGGATCAAAAACCTAAAACTCTAAAATTCCTACAAAAAAAAATCAGGAAAAACTTTAATTGGATTGGCAACTGTTTTTCTCTCTCTCTCTCTTTCTCTCTCTCTCTCTTTCTCTCTCTCTCTCTCTCTCCCTCCTTCCCTCCCTCCCTCTCCCTCTCTCTCTCTCCCTCCTCCCTCCCTCTCTGCCTCTCTCTCTCCCTGCCTCCCTCTTTCTCTCTGTCTCTGTCTCTGTGTGTGTGTCTCTCTCTCTTTCTTTCTCTCTGTGTCTCTGTCTCTGAGACAGTCTCAGTAAGTACCTTAGGCTGGCCATGTAGTCCAGGCTGGTTTTGAACTCATGGCAATTCTCCTGCCTTGGCCTCTATAGGGCTGAGATTACATGCATGCACTACCACAATTAGCACGGCAACTATTTCTTGAGCATGAGCTCATACACACAGGCAACAAAAGTAAAAACAGACAAATGGGACATCAAACTTAGAAATGTTTACACAACATAGCAAGCAACCAACACAGTGAAAAGGCAAAACATAAAATAGGAGAAAATATTTGCAAATCGTGAATCTGAAAAGTAGTTAATATCCAGAATACAAAAATAACTCCAACTCTGTAACAACAACTACAACTCAAACAATCTAATGCAAAAATAGAGAAAGGACCTGAATAGATATTTCTTCAAAGAAAAATAAATGACCAACAGGCATACAAAAAGATGCTCAATATTACTATTCATTTGGGAAATGCAAATCAAAACTACAATAAAGGTATCACTTCATACCTATCAGGATGATCATTATTAAAAGAAGACAAGAAATGGACAAACGTTGAAGATATAAAGAAACTAACTCCTGTGTACTTCTCAGAACATAAAATGCTCTATTGTATTAGAATATAAAGTACTACATATGAGTATATATGCAAAAGAATTGAAAATAAGGTCTTTAGGGGCTGGGGATTTAGCTCAGCGGCATAAGCACCTGCCTTGCAAGCAGGCGGTCGTGAGTTCGATCCCTGGTACCGATAAAAAGTTAAAAAAAAAACAAGGTCTTTAAGAGATACTTCATACCCATTTTCCTTGTAGTATTACTCGTAATGTAGAATGTAGAATCAATTACCGGTTGAGAAATAAAGAAAATATGGTACATACAAGCATTGGAATATTATCCAGCCTTTTTAAAAAAGATATTAAACTAAGTAATACATGATTTCAATTATTTGAGGCATCTAAAGCTAGCTAAACTCTCAGAAAGTAGAATGGTGATTGCAGAGAGCTGGAAGGAGAAAGGAGACGTTCTTGTTAAAGAATAGAGAATTTTAGTTTTTCCAGATGAAAAAGTTCTAGAGAGTTATTGCACAACAATACGTATATAGTTTATACTACTCTACTGCACACTTGAAAATGGTTAGATGATCAATACTATGTTTTGCTTTTAATTTTGCAGTACTTGGAGCTGAACCAAAGGCCTTTTCACTGAGTGATGTCTCATATCCACCACCTTTTTTTATTGTTTTTTGGTTTTTGGTTTTTGAAACAGGATTTCATTATGTAATTTAGGCTGGCCTCAAACTCAGTTATCTTCCTAACTCGGCCTGCCTCAGCCTTCCAAATTCTGGGCTTACAGATGTGCACCACCACACCCAGCTCATATCCTTTTTTATTTAGAAACAAGATCTAACTAAGTAACCAAAGCTGGGTTTAAACTTTCAGTCCTCCTGCCTCGGTCATCCTGAATGCTGGGATTATAGGTAAGAGCCTCTACTCCTGTTTTATTTGTGGTTTGATGGTAATAAAGGTAATGATGATATCACTTAAACTCACTTTCCTTATCAACAAAAGCTGGCAGTACTAATAGATGATCTCTAAAGTCACATTCTGCAGTAACAAAGATTGTAATAGAAAATTTCATGACTGACCTATGACTATACTTAATTCCAAGCATCTTATCTAATATATTCACTAAGAAAACAAAAGACCAAAAGGATGTAAAAGGAAGAACAACACTACTTTCTGATTATTCATTTAAAAACTGAAAAATTTCAAAAAACAAAACAAAACAAGCCAGGCATGGTAGTGCATGCTTGTAAT